TGAAGACCGTCCAGCACACGGTCAACATGACCAGGAAGCTGGATGCGAAGGTTGCGCGGCTCCAGAAGCAGCGCTCGGAAAGGCAACTGCAGTGGAGTACCTATGTGGCAGACATCAAGGCCGCCCTGCAGCAGGAGAAGAAGCGCTTTATACAGGAGCAGACGCAGACGGAGCACGATCTCAAGGTGGCCTTGGGTTTGCAAGCTCAGGCGTACCAACAGCTTCAGTGCACGGCTCCTGCCCTGGCCGCAGCACCTTCGGCGCCCGCTGCTATGGAGATCTCGGACGATCCCGACGAATGGGACGAGATCGTGGCTTCCTTGCAGGAGCCCCCCTCTGCTTCCGAGAATGTGGACATGGCCAAGCTTGCGCATGCGCTCCGACAGGCTGGAGTGGACCCGGCTTCTCTGGCCTTCGGAGCGCCAAGCACGCCGCCCAGAAGGGGCACGCCTATGCCGCCGATGACACCACCGCCTTCGGCCAATGCGGTTGCTTCGACTGCTCGGCTGCTGCCTACGGATGGTGCCTCACCAGCTGCTGTGTTGTCAAAGGATCCCTACATGGCATCACCAAGCCTGGCTCACTTTGGCTTGCCTGCGTCAGGGGATGTGGCACATGTGGCCCCGCCATCGGGTTCAGCGGCCCCTGGTTCTGGCGTCGCGCCGGATGCGAATTGTGCCGCTCCCCCACAGCTGGCCGAACGCCTCTCGGAGAAGCGCCGGGCTACAAGATCTGCGATGGCGCCCTTCGGGGTCTCCCGCCGGGCACCGAAGGTCGGGGCGGATGGCACGCGCCCCTCTACTACGACGACTGTGGAGGAAGCGGCCCCGGCGGGCTCCCTCTTGGACGACGACGATTCGGAGGAGCTTACCGCCGCATCTCCGGGCCTGGGTCGAATGGAGTAGCTGCCTTTTTCTGCGATACGCAGTCTAGACTGAGGCGCTCTTTTTCTACCTGTTCTGAGGCTCAATGCCCTCTGCTTGGTTCGGAGGTTTCTCAGCCCACCCTCGGTTCCCTGGTGAGCTCTTGCCTTGCGAGTGCATGGGTGCACTCCTCGGCTCAATCGCTCGTCGGGTTGAGCCCTGAGTGGTCTAGGAGCCTCCTTACCACGATGATTCTGAGCCTCTGGGCCTCGCCGAAACATGTACAGGGTGTACAGTTTCCACTTCCGTGTAGAGTGCTGCTTCAGATGGCAAGGTGTGTTTGCTTCTTCACGTGCCGCCTCACTTTGGGAGGCATCTCGCGTGACAGGGCCAGCTGTGCGTTGCCCTGGTTTTGGGCAATGTTCGGGGGTCCCTTGTCAGTCTCCTCTGCTACCCTTGCTGGTGGTTCTGGTTTTGATCCACTTACCTGGGTAGCCCCGCCTGCTTCGCACCGCAATGGCGCCTTGGGTTTTGGCTGCCACGGTGCATTTCTTCGACCTTTTGCGTCTTGGCGCAACTGCTTGAGTTGCCAGGTCGCCCCCTTTTCCAGCAGGGGCCTAAGAGAGGCATCGGTGGCTCAGGGGCCTCTCCCTGCTTTCTTATCTCGTGTGCCCAGGGCACGGGGCGCTCTACCGCCCGTTGTCGAACGGCTTTCCTTTGGTCAGTTGCTCTCCTCGTGTGAGCTCCCCCTGGTCGGGTTTGCCCGGAGCCTGCTAGGGCTGTTCTCTCTGGCCATACTCAAGCTTCTGTTGAGTGCTTTGCCAGGGAGGAAAGGATCGTTTGGCAGACTCCTTGCGTTGCCCTGCTCAGGCGTTCCCGTTTCAGTTGCATTGGGGCTAGGTAGGTGCTTCAGGCCGGCCATGCAGACTGAGTGCGAGTTGTGCCCAGGCGTTCCCTTGCGTGCCTGGAACGGCAAACGTGGTAAAGGTGGGTTCCCTAAAGTTAGGCCCCGCCCTTTAGCCGCCTGCCGTACACCCGGCGGATCTAAGGCCTCCTGGACTGGACTATGGCGTGCCGTCCTCGGGATCCTCTTAGGATGGGGCTGGGTCCCTGCCTCGGTTGAAGCCTTTAGTTGTGGTCTAGGCCCCCCATATGCTTTCTCCCACGGTTGGGTAAGTCTCACGGGCCTCACCGTAGCTGCAGTTCTGCCGGGCGGTCATGCTGCAGTTGACACACGCAGGCCTCATGATGTTGATCTTGAGGAACTTGCCCACCATGTTGGTCAGCCCCTGCTTTCCAGGCGCCTTCCTGTGCCCACGCCTTTTGAGCGCGGGCAGGCCAACGTATTGCCGCTCGAATACCTGTCCGAGCTGCCAGAGCCGCTAGGAGTCGATGATGCTAAGTGGCTAGGAGTTCTGGTTCTTACTCCCCACTTTAGGCCGCTCAGGCTCGCGGTTCTCTGTTCGCCCCACCAAGGGGTAGACTTTGTCATAGACTCCGTTCTTCAAGCAGCACCGGGGTCTGAAGAAGGGTTCTTTGATAAGTGTGTTCCAGCGTGCCCGCTGCAGTTCAAGGGATGGTGTACTCTTATCAGATTTCCTTCTCTGGCTGCACTTTCGCCCGACGGCATAATGAGGGCCGTTATTCTTGACCTGACCTTCGTCGGTGGCCATTACTACGCCTCTCTTTTGCCGGAGGACATTGATTTTGAGGAGCTTTTGCATTTCGCTACCTTGCAATCCTCCTATTCTGAGGTCGAGATCTTGGTGCATATCGGCAACAGCCCTGCTGCGCACCCTCCTGGGCAGCCCTTGCGGCTACGTGATGGGGACGTGCTCACCTTCCGCCGTCCTCCTCAGGAATGGCTCGTGCACCAAACAGCTGCAGAGCTGTTCCAGGACGCCTCTTCTTGGCAGTCGCCCTTGGACATGCCCCGGCTTTCGCCTGCGGTCGGGATCCTCGTGCATCACGGGCCTGAGCGTGTCTTTATGCCCAAGCACCACCACTACGGGCAGTCGCCCCTCTCTGCGATTGCCTCTATGTGGGATTACAGCGATGGGGAATTTACCGTCTGTGTCTTCCCTACGCCCGATCTCGAATTCCGGGGCAACCCTTGCACACAAGTTGCCTGCGTGGCGCACTTGCCTAGCGCTCAGCTGGCCGCTCCGGAAGCCTACAGACGCAGGGACTTCTTCATCCTCTGTGATTTTCGAGGTCTCGGGTATGGGGTTCGCATTGCTCACAGCCATGTTCCCTGGTTACACCTTCCCTCCATTGCAGCCATCGCCGGTGTGAGCGTGCCACTGGGCATGCGGCTTGTTGCTGTAGGCTGGGAAGCACTCGGTGAGGACGTTCGCCTCTACGGGCATGATACCCTCGTCATCCGGGCCGTTCCTGTTGCCACTGCTGAGAGCGATTTGTCTGATGAACCTGGGGATCCCCCTGACGAGGATCCACATAACCCCAACCCCCGTCGGCCTCGGGACTTCCCTTTCTCTGTCACTCCCGGGGTCCCTGCGAGGCCTTCTCAGCGTCAGCCCTTGCGTGAAAGGTCCCGGTCCCGTGGCCGGCCCGCCGCCGATTGGGGTTATCACGGCAGCCTGAGTCCTGCCCCTCTGTTGGATGGCTGCGTCGCCCCTTTTGGTGCTGGCTCTCTTCCCTGGCAGGTGTGCACCCTTGTGAGCCCTTGCCCCTACCCTGCGTGTCAAGGCCTCTTCCCTGCCCCAACGATGTGTAAGCTCCTACGAGAGCCTGCCTCGCACAGCTTCGCGCAACGCGACCGCCTGGATCATGCGCGTGAGTTCGTGCGGCAGACTGGTCGCCACTGGGGCTTCTTGCCGGCCGAAGACGGCCTTGAAGCGCAAACCGACGAAGACTTCGAGTCTGGCACGGCTTCCCTTGCTGATGGTGAGACGGCCTAGAGGACGAAACGCACTCTAAAAAGACCCCGGTGGTCAAAAAGACAGCTAAATTCATATTGGTTCGGTTTTTAAGAGACATTTGAGGAATATATCGATCATATTGAGGAATATAAGAAACATTCAAGTGCAGCGTCGTTTAAATTCATATTGGCTCGTTTGTTAGCCTTCAACTAATTATCGGCGTCGCTTATTTTCACTTCGTCCCTTGTGGTAAGAAGGTATACCATGCATGACTTGATTTGTATTCTTTGGCGCTTTGGCATGGCTTGCTACTACTACTACTACTACTACTACTACTACTACTACTACTACTACTATACTACTACTACTACTACTACTACTACTACTACTACTACTACTACTACTACTACTACTATACTACTATGTATTTTTGACATGGCTTGACTTGCTGGGCATGGCTTGAGTTGCTTTGGCATGCTACTACTACTACTACTACTACTACTACTACTACTACTACTACTACTACTACTACTACTACTACTACTACTACTACTACTACTACTACTACTACTACTACTACTACTACTACTTACTACTACTGCTACTACTACTACTATACTACTATGTACTACTACATGGCTTGACTACATGGCTACTAGTTGCTTTGGCATGCTACTACTACTACTACTACTACTACTACTACTACTACTACTACTACTACTACTACTACTACTACTACTACTACTACCACTATACTACTATGTATTTTTGACATGGCTTGACTCGCTGGGCATGGCTTGAGTTGCTTTGGCATGCCTTGACTGCGAATATAGTAGATATATATCTATCCTAAGATCGCAAACTCTATATATACCCAATACACAGAGCAATCCATGCCATGACAAGCAGTAACAACTTGCAACACAAATCGAAACATGCCATGGCACATGCAGACTGCTACATTGGCATGGCTTGACTTGCAAAAAAGGTGCAGGCAGCAAGCTTGCAACATTTTCAGAACCCCCTCGAAAGCGGTCTTGCAGTTGATGAGACTTCTCTGCAAAATGGTGAGACTGCAGCTACCGTAGTGCAAGACTCTTTGGACTCGCAGGAACTTCTTCACGTAGTCCTGGCAGCATGAATGTTTGCAATTCGGGCTACAGGGTGACACATGCAGCTGTCCTAGTGCAAGACTCTTTGGACTCGCAGGAACTTCTTCACGTAGTCCTGGCAGCATGAATGTTTGCAGTTCGGGCTACAGGCTTACAGTGCATGCACTGTCCTCGTCCATCCAGCAGCTGTAAAAGGCCGGGTTCTCGCGAGATTCCGACAGCTCAAGAAACTGGATCATGTGTTGCAAGGCATGCCCCTTCGGCCTTACCTTTGCCAAAAAGACAAGCGACCTGTCCACACCCTGCTTGGCCAAGCGAAACCACTGCTTAACCAACAAGTGACCCGAGGATACGACGTCGACCCACTCGTTGTGGGTGAAATACCTACCCGCTCGCACCATGGTACCTATACAGGTCTCGGCATGTTGCACAATCTCTCGCAATTCAGGTAGTGGCCACACCAAGTCATGATTCAAGTTCTGGAAAAGCCATGCCAACCATGCCATGATGACAGCTGTGTCCGAAGCTTTGCAGTGGATTCCCTCGGTTCGCACGTATGCGTAGAGGAAATTTCAATCGCGACAAGTCCGAACGAAACTAAAATAACTCAACGGGATATTAATTACTTAAGATCGTGCAAGGCTCGGGGCAGGCATCGCTGTACCAATGCACATTCTCCTTCGTAAACCTTTTGATGGCCAATGTTTTGTTGTGTTCTCGAGCCCAGGATCTCAAGGATTGATATGCCGATTGGAGCCTCTCACCGATCTTGCTACCAACAAAAATTTTGGCTTTCGTGAGCTCCTTAATGCACGTGCCGGCGATATCTCTGCCACACCCCAAATGCCAAACGTGCATCAGGTCGAAGACAACCATCTCCAGGCGAAAATACTTGATCCGCATTATACTAGGGAACACCTGCCAAGGTGCAGAAGAGAAAAGTGTGTTTGCCCACGGGGCATCCTCTCGGACATTCGTGAAGAGCATGTGCGTTTTCCCGGCATGACAAAATGGGCATATCATGTCGGAGCTCGGCGATCTAACCAGGTTCAGTGCCTGCACTAGCCATTTCCAGTCGCCCTTCAGCGTTACTAGCCTGGCAAAAAAATGTCCATGCTTCGTTGTGAAGCCCTCGCTAAGCAGCTTGTTGAAGTCCGAGGAAATTTTTTCCAACAACATGTCCAGCGACATGTTGACATTGGTGTCGGGATCTTTCACATAACCTTCCACGGGGAAAGAGAAAAGAGGGTACCTGCTCGCCTGTGACAGACTTCGCACATCAGGAGGGCCAAGGGCTGATTGCAAAGTCACCAGGAGCCAAGAGTTAGACCTCAGGGTACCCTCATCCCCCCACAATTGTAGCGGTATGATTCTCTCCAGCGGCCAGCTGTCGTCGTGGAATTCGTCGAGGGGGTGGTCTTTGAGCCACGTTTTCCAGAAATCCTTTATCTCACTGGGGCTTGGTACTAAGGCATCTCGATGGTCCATCATCAACTTTTCCAACCACTCTATCGGACTTATATATGGCCAGGACTGGTACTCGATCTGCCCAGCATGCACATGCACAGGCGTGACGACATACTGAGCCAAGCAGGGGATCGCCATCTTCGCCTTTTTGGCTTTTGCGAAAAGCTCATCATCTCGAAGAGGTCTCGACGGAAATCCCCTTAGGCAAATCAAGCACATGTTTAACCATCCATGCATCAAGACAATTTAAACGTACATGCCATGGCAAGTTCCCCACCAAGAAACCCCAAGAGATCCGAATCCAAGTGGGCCAAGACTTCTGCAGAAGCCGTCAGCGTGGATCTTCCGGCTGCAACCTGTTGAAGCAGCCTAGCAGCAAAGCATGCCAATAGATACAACAAAGCTGGATCGATACTCATCCGGGCGTGGGACTTCTTGGCCGTTTTGTCAGCATCACTGACATGGTCCGAACAAGTACCTGTGGGCTTGAAAGGAATTTCTGAAGCTTTTTAAGGTCTAAGGGAATTAATATATATGGAATTGCTAATCTTTTAAGGTTATAGGGTTTGGGGAATTAACCAAAACCATATGGAACTTACGATCTTTTTTGCCAAAAGACATATGGAATTGCTAATATTTTTAAGGTTTTTGGGTTTGGGGAATGTACCAAAACCATATGGAACTTACGATCTTTTACGGCAAAGGACATATGGGATTGAAGATCTTTTTTGCGGTTCGCGATTCGCAGCAGCGGTGCGGTGCACCACAACTAAGCAAAAGTCAAAATTTCAGGATGCTAGCTCTTGCTAGTGGTTCGCCGATCGATCAGGACTGCTTTTTCATGGCCGTGATGGCTCCTCGCATGCTTCCTCGTGCAATGTTGAACTGAATGACCGCCTCAATGCAATCGTCGCGAATGCTGTCGATGTCGTCGAGAGGTGTTCGCTTCAGCCTTACATATAATTAATTAAGTCTCGGTGCATGAGGCTCTCTCGTTCCTATATGCTATATATCTATCGCACATATGCACAAGCGACTTCTGGAATGCGGACCGCATGTCTGCTGTGGCTTTCTCGAAAGCATCCTGGACACGATCTTAAGGCGGAAGGCTTAAGGTTTCAAGCGTGGGGTCAAAGCGGGTTTATCAAGATCCATGCCATGCCATGCCACAAACATACACATGCAAGCAAGCCAAAGCAACAAACAAAAGTCCTTGACACCTGGCTCAATCCTTTCGGGAGCATCTTGGCGGATGCCTTCGGCGCTGATCAACTCCTTGCGGAGCTCGCTGCCTGAACTTAATTATAACAAGCCTGGGACCCGAAAAGTTGCTTTTAAAACTCTACAACGATTCTACCATGCAATCTCCCAAACACTAGGCCATGAACTCCACTTCTCTTTTCTTTCTTCTTTGGTGGCCCATGGGGTATCCCACACACTGATTTTCTTGACCTTTGCCTTCTTACCGCCGGGCTTATTCGAGGGCTTGTCTGGCAAGGCCAGCTGGGGGGTAGACGAGGGCTTGTTCTTCCCGCGATTGGGCTTCGGCTCGGGCTTCTGCTCTTCGTCGCTGTCAGCGTCATCATCGACCGTCTCTGTGCGATCAGACTTCTTGCCGAAAGCAGGCTTGTTCGCGAGGTGGACCTGCATCGCCTCCTGAATGTCCATATTGGAGCGGGATCGGACTTCGGACCTCGACCATGCATGGTGGGGAACATACCAAAAACCATATGGAATTGATGATCTTTTTATGGTTTAGGGTTATTAGGGAATGTTCGCCAAAAGACCTATGGAAGTCACGATCTTTTCAGGAGGCTTAGGGTTTAGGGGACATAATCACACACATGTCAACTCACATGTCAAACTCCATGCGTGCTATAGGGGCTGGTTCTTCTTGTAGTCTTCGGCTTCCATCATGACATTGACCCAATACTTTAGTGGACCACCTGGAAAGTCTTCGTCCTCGATGCCTTTTCTGTTCTGTGCGATCCACTCACACTTCTCCTTGGGGAAGAAGTACGGCTTCTTTCTCATCTGGCGGAGGGTCAAGCACACCCTGACCTTTCTGCTACCAGTGCCTTGGGTACTCGTGACTTGCAGCTCGCTTTCGACCTGATTGGGGTCTTTGGAGAGCACATACTTCCGAAGTAGCTCGTTCTTTTTCTTTCTATCGGCAGTAGACCAGGCCGAAGCCAGGCATGGGAACTCGCCGCTCTCCGCAAGCTGCGATAGCTTGTTCCAGCTTGAGCGGTGCGTGGCCGAAGTGATCTTCTCATCCTTCTTTTCATGCAGGACCATCGCGGTTGACGGTACGGGATCTTCGGCGACTTTCTCCGGCACCTCCTTCGCGGTTGACGGTACGGGATCTTTGGCGACTTTCTCCGGCACCTCCTCGAGCTGATCAGACGAGTGCGAAGACTCATAATCACTTCTCAACCCTCCCCACAGTGGCAACTTACTTGAAGGTACCACCATGTGATACCAGTCGCTCTCAGGAATGAAGTCCTCCGGATCCCAAGCCTCTCCATCGACGTCGCCTTCGTCTTCCTCCTGCTGACTGATCTTGATGAGCCTGCATTCCTCTCGCCATGCCTCCCATTCGGCCTGCACCTCATCATCCCATTCGAGCTCCTGTGCCCATGGCCCCGTATCCTCGGCATCCCACTCCTGGGTGTCCATTTGATCAATGGAAACCTTTGCAGCCTTATTTTCCTTTGCTTTCTCCTTCTTTGCCTTCTTGGACTTTTTGTTGCTTGTTGCTGGCACTGCATCATGCTCCTCCTCTTTCTCCTCCTCCTTGGGTTGCTTTTGCTTCTTGTTCTTCTTCTTTTGATTCTCATGAGCATGCCCTTCATATACCCATGCACCGTCACGATCTACAGCAGATCGCTTGATCCCCGAGCTCCCCGCCGGGGTTGACTTTTCTCGGACCCTCCTAGGAGGTGTCAGCTTCGAAGCACCTTTCCACAGCTTCGGCCTAGGTGGCAATTATACCGATCAATTCAATGTGCATGCGGCTAGTACAATTCGTGTCTAGAGGCTCCTTCTTTGGCGGCTCGAGGCAAAACTTAGCCTCCTCATAGGACAGCTTTGCTGTCTTCATTAAGGCTTTGATTTCTTTCTCCATGATGGGCTACGACCTAGCGACTTAAAAGCCTGCAGCCAAAAACCTATACACAGCAACGTACATGCAACAGCAAGACATGCCAAGCTCAAGACATGGTTCATGCATGACATGCAATGCAAGCAGCACGTGGCTTTTGTACTCGATGCAGACCGATATTAGGGTTATTAAGGTTTAAGGGCTTATAGGGTTTATATTGTATAGTTTATATAATTATAATTTCATATCAAGTTATATAGTATAAAGGCTCATATAATATAGAGAGGATAATGGACAATCCAATATATTCTGGCGCACTACTCAGATAATGTGGGATACTAGCCGATTGTACGGGAAAATGAAGAGCGTATGGTGCATTCCTGCGCATTACCCAGAAAGGGCGATTTGTATGAATTTGCAGGGCATTTGTAGGAATTTACGGGGCATTTGAATGAATTTGCAGGGCATTTGTATCGGGGCGGGTTCGGGGAATTTACGGTGCGTACTGCGGGGAATGCGGGGGGTTAAAGAAAGCTAGCTGCGGCATCGCTATCTAGGGTCAGGCCCCTGCACCAATTGATCAGCTTGCACATGATGATATCACCTGGGATCAAAGCAAACAAGCATGCATCCAAACATTCATGACATGCACAACACGATATGAAGCAAGACCATACTGGCTTCGACCTGGGCGGGTGTTCTGCTTAAGGCATTTATAAAGCCCGAATTGATTATATAAGCGAGGTTGAGGGTTCAGGGTTCAGGGTTTATAGGGTTCAAGGTTTAGGGTTCAGGGTTTAGGGTTCAGGGTTAGGGGTCCCAATCCCAACCACAACCCAATATCCCTATAGGACAAACCAACAAACCAATCAATCACAAACACCTTCGCTGAGATCCTCACCACGACCAGCTCGCATCGACCTGGGCAAGCGGTCCAATCCATGCAAAGCAAGCACAAACCATGCATGCAAGACAAGCTGCAAGACAATCAATCATGTGCAAGCATGGCAACCGACCAATCTTTTTCAATTAACTTGCAATAGTGTACACGGCTCTGATACGTACCTGTACAGGTTTGGCCGATCCAGCCACAGATCAAAATCTGAAGTGCAGGATCATGTGGCTCCATTGGTGTGCATGCGAGCGATTGCATGTTTTGCACTATAGCTCTATAGCTTTGCTTTTCTATTAACATACGACCCGGCCGGCCCATCAGCCCGAAGCACACACACACATGCAATGGGAGAGCATATATTATATCTAGATATTATATAGCCCCAGGAGCCCCAATCCCGCACTCCTAAGACCTACTGTCCCTCCTCCTCCTCCTCGATCTCGATCGCCTCCGGGATCGCCTCGATCTCGATCGCCTCCGGGATCGCCTCGATCTCGATCGCCGCCTTGATCTCGATCGCCGCCTCGATCTCGATCGCCGCCTCGATCTCGATCGCCTTGATCTCGATCGCCTCGATCTCGATCGCCTTGATCTCGATCGTCTTGATCTCGATCGCCTCGATCTCGATCGCCCCGATCTCGATCGCCTCGATCTCGATCGCCCCGATCTCGATCGTGATCGCCTCGATCCCTCGGCCTGCACAGCCTGCTCCTCCTTCTCGATCTGCTGCCTCATCTGCTGAAACTGCCGTCTCAGCGTACTCGAGGTGATCGAGGCCTCGCTCTCGCTCTGCTCTGCACATGCCGCTGAAGTTGCCTCTAGGCTTGCCTCTGGGCTCGAGGGCTCCGAGGCCCCAAAATCCTCATAGTCATCGGCGGCACATGCAGCGGCCTGCAACAAATCAAGCCAAGGCAAAACACGACAACTGCAAGTTAAGGAGCTATAAAGCCTATAAACCCCAAACCCTATAAACCCTAAACCCTGAATACCTCTAGATACATGTGGTCTGCCTCTGACGACAAGGACTCCACAGAGCTTGCAGCATCGAGCTCGGGGGGCTCAGTTGCAGGCGGAGGCAGTGGAGGCGGCGACGACGGTGCAGGCCCAAAGCCATATAAATGCATCGGCGGAGGCATCGGCGGAGTCTTCGGTGCAAGCTTCGGCAGTGCCTGCTCAATATATCAATCCAATCCAAGCAGGTCAAGACAATCATTGGGTTATTTCGGGTGGCGGTTTATTTTAGGGCCCATGGTGTTTATACACCAAAACACACAGCCTCCGGCCCGGGATTCACGAGCTCTGCAGGCTTCGGCAGAACCACGGGAGGCATACCATCTGCCTAGCAAGCTCAATACCAATCCAAGCCCAAGCATGCCAATACCATGTGAGGTTTGGGTTGTCGCGGTCTATTTAGGGTATTGGTTTTTTTTGCAAAAGACACATAGCCTTGCCCATGGGCTCCACGGCAGCTGCTGTAGCTGCCACCTGCAAACACAAGAAATCAAGCAAGGCAACTCATGCTCATGCGAAGTTTTGGCGGCCTGGCCTTAAAGTCTGCAGGGGCTAGAGGCCTAGCAGGAGGCGGTACCATAAGGGGACGTCGAGGAGGCACCGGCGGAGGTTTCGGGATCGATGCCAAGTCGACCACCGGCACTGGCGGGGGCCGCGGTGGCAGGATCGCTGTCGAAGGTCTGGTCGACGAAAGCTTAGGCGGTGGAGGGAACCGCAGGTGGCTAGGCCATTGATCGGCATGCCCTTCGGACGGCATGGCTGTGCTATCTAGGGGTCTCGGCGCTTAAACTCGGACATTATACCTAAACCCTTATAAGGGTTTAGGGTTCATAGGTTGTGTCCTCGAATCGACTATTTAATGTATAGTTAGTATAGTGATCTAAACCCGAAAAGTAGCCCCTCGACCCCTCGAACACAAACCAGGCAAAAAGTGATGGCATGGCATGGTGCAAGTTGACATGAGCTGAACACGTTCATGCTTTGATCAATAATGATTGCTCATATCATGGCAATATTTATATACCCAGCTGCAAAGTGCTAACAAGTTCATGCCAACATGTATCGACCAACATAAAGCTCGCCAGCCAAACTTCATCATGCCGACAACATGCATGCCAAGCCATGCACCAATGCTCAGGCTTCGATACCAAGAACGGATGCAATGAGAGCCGGACCCACCAAACCAGCTCGGGTCGATCCAAGTACCTGGCTGGGTGAAACTTAACACACCTATATTCCAAACTCTAGCGACTCTACCACGACAGCGGCCTTCCTGCAGTGCTCCGATGTCCTCTGCAAAACCGCTCGAAATCTGAACAGATCTAGTGCCCCACGAATGCAGTCCTTCATCCTCGACGTCGTAGTCGAAGCAAGAAGCTATACTCGGATTGGGATTCTGGGGTACTGGCTATTAAAAGTTGTAGGGTTTAAGGGCCCGAGGGTTTGGGAATGCGAGGAGGTTTAGAGTTGACAGCTCCTGCCCTGCACCATGCATGCAATCACACATGTGTGTCCAATTCACAGAATCGGCGCTTGCAAGCACAGTTCATGCAACAAGTCATGCCATGCCAAGTGGACTATTTTTTCTTGTGCGATTCGCAAACCCCGTGGACACAGGAACTACAATCGCATAGCCAGCGATACCCAGCCTTGCCCCCAGCCAGGCAGTGCTATGATACAAAAGCCCAGAACTGGCCTTATGCCAGAGCCCCAGCATTCCGTGGAGAACAGCCAGCACCCATCTCAAATCACTCAAGCTCATATAACCTGAAGCTTGCTTCATGGAGCCCGAAAAAAACACGAATCAGGCGAATCTGCGCCTCTTAAGCTCGTTCTCCGGGAGGTCCGAGAGCATGTTAGCTCGACGATTGGACAGCATCCATGCCTTACAGGCCTCGAGGTGCGTGAAACCTTTGGCCCTCTTCTTCTGCATAAAAGCATTGCGAGCATCCTTAAAGGTTCCAGGTTGATACGTGGACGATTCAACCGGTGGCTTTGCTTTGCTGGTCTTCTTTTTTTTCTCTTCGGGCTTCTTCTTCTCGGGGGTCTTCGAGTCCTTCTTCGAGCCCTTCTTCTTCTTCGGCTTGTACTGGGAGGAAGGGTAGAACGGCTCATCCTGAACTGCTTCATTATCCTCCTCATCCCTCAGCTTCTTGATCCAAGCACGATTGATTTTTTCCATACTGTAACCCTCGGCCTTCTTCTCCTTCATGAACTTCAAACGATCCTGCGAAACCTTGGTTTCGGCCTCAACCGGCTTCTGCTGGGTCAGCTTCATGAGGTCCTCCAAGGCACCCGAGGACGACGAGGATTCCTGGGACTCTCCACCATCTGAGAGATCCTGCGAAAAAGTTTACAAGTGGAATAACCCTAAATCAATGAGCCGCAGAAACATGCTGGCAGCTCCTCTCGTTTCCACCAAAACTCTTCGCACTCCTTTTTCATGTCCCTGATCTCTGAGCAATGGCTGGAATCTGCACGTCGCATGAGGATTCTCAGAGTGCTGGCCTTGCAACCGACACAGCTACATACACAGACCCACACACACACACACGAAACACTGCAGAGCATGCCATGCCAAGGTCAACATGCAAGCCAAGATCAATTAATACAGTTCAGTTGCTAGCTTGCGGGCTGCACTACCAACCTTGATCGCCCATTTCTGGGCCAAAGGGTTGGAGGACTCCATGCCGGAGGGGAACAGCTTCTTCTTCTGGTAGAGTTTCAGCAAGGCTTCGGCGATAACGAAAGCTGACATACGAGATCTAAAATCTGGACCCTGTTCCTGCATGCCATAACCACGAAGAGTGGCCACTGCGACCTAGGCGGGGATCCACTTAAGTGCTTTCAGGGGCCTCGTGCTGACCCATTATGCATATAGGTTCCTACACTTTCTTGACTTAATATTGCCAATCCACCCGGGGATTTGCTTTGACGTCCTTTCTGGAGCAGTGGTCCTTGCACTTCAAGAGTTTGCCGGATTTGTCGCTCACCACCTGAAAGCCCGCCTGGGCGGTGGTAGTGCTGCCAGTAGTGGTAGCTAGTAATGGTATATAGTGATCCATACAACCAGGCCTGGCGGAAGAAGGGCAGTTCCTGCTTGTAGCTGTTGTACAGCAGGCCCACAAGGACCGAATGCTCCCCCTGACCCATATTCGAGGCCATCTTACAGGCCGAGTTGGCCTTGAGCAGTGCCATTGCACTCCGAAAGCCTGTGTACAGGATACGAAATTATATGCCAACATGCACTATGCACCCTGTCGCTGCCTTCCAGCTTTACATATAGACCCATGCAAGATCTCAAAGGGAGCTAACATGCTTGGACCTAGATGATGCAGAGGAGCCAGGATCGAGTCGCGATCTTGCTGCTGCAATGCAAGTCTGCAAGACATACACACAGCGGGGCACTGTCAAAGACGTCCTTGATGGCTAGCCGGCGTTTCGGCATGGAGGGCCATGTCCCAGCACAACACTCAAGCAGGGCAAGCACAGCACTCGGTAGAAAGAACCTAGTACTGCAGACACTAGCACACAGGGACCCCTGATGTAGGGTTTAAGGTTGAAGGTTCCAGGTTTCTTCTCACAGCTTTGAGCCCAACATGGTGAAACCGTGCAAAGCATCTATCCATTGCTGTATATGTGCATACAGCAGTCATGCATCATTTTCCTCATGGCATCTGCTCTCAATCATTTGTCCAGCTGGCTGGAAAATGGTGTTCGTCATGCATTTAATTGGCTACCCTTAGCGAAGCTGCTCCCTTGGGGAATCTGCTCTTTTCCGCTTCCGCTGGCTTGGCTCACTGGTGTCCATGGGTGTCTGGGTTTCACCAGCTTGGGCTTCCTTCTGTGCTTCCTCTCTGGATAACTCCAATGAGCGCCACAGACTGTGCCATCGCTGAGTCCATGAACCGTCCCACACCCAATACCATTTTCTCTGCTCCGGAGCCTGATCCTGCCCGTCTTGGTCCATGGCTTTTAAAGTGGCAGGACTATAGCTGGTGAGCCGGGTAGCTGTAGCAGACACTTGCTGAGTCCATATGCATCCTCCCTACATCACTCACAACAAACCCTGCAGGCCATGCCAAGCAAGTCAATCCATGTCAAAAATACATAGTATAATAGTAGTAGTAGTAGTAGTAGTAGTAGTAGTAGTAGTAGTAGTAGTAGCAGCAAGCAAGTCATGCCATGCCAAAGCAAGTCAAGTCATGCCAAGCAAGTCATGCCATGCCAAAGCAAGTCAAGTCATGCCAAATATGTATACTAATACCTATATATATATATATATATATATATATTGATGGAAAATAAAGGACATTTCGTGTTTTCGCAGTCCATGAGTCATCAATAAGGAAAATAAAGTGCATTCCAAAATGTCATATATCTTCGGTCGTACTAGAGGAAATTAAGAAACATTCAGCGCCGCACATTTTCAGTAGTTACCTTTCGGGGAATTATAAGAGACATTTCGTCCTCTAGGGGAGTTTACCTTCTTCGTTTTGCGCATCGAGTATGTGCCTGAGATTGTTACGCTTGTCATGGAAGCCCCAGTCACTGTGCAGCATGCCCTGGCCCTTGTCCCGCAGGTCAGAGATCCTGTCAGCACCAGGCTCTACCCACTGCTTGTTGACGTCAACCCACAGCCGTCACAGGCGTCAGGCATCTTGCTCGCGCTACCGGGATGGGCGGCATCAGAAATTGCGGTCTGTTGCGACCTTTCTGCCTTTGACGGGCGTTTGTTTGCAGCCGACGCCCCTGCTGTTTTGTCGCGAGACGCCCTTCTTCGACTTTGCGAAATCAGCAACGGTGAGGATGTCGACTTCTTTATCGGCACCAGTGACAGGCCGTTAGGTGATGAGGACGTCCCTGTCTATCTGGGCACATGCATCTTCGCCGTCCAGCGTTTCGCGCTGCCGGGGCCCTTTTATTTCCTCAGTGATGTGCTTCGAAACTCGGCAACGTGGGATGACGAACCCCAGTTGCCGATTGGCCCTGCTGGTGGCGGCTTTTGTGCTGTTGGCGAGGGTGGACACCGTCGCTTTCCGGTGCCCCCAGGGGCGTTTTTCGCAGACCACGCTTTGATTGCTCTCGCCTTTGCAATCCCTGAAGCTGAACTTGTTATCCAGCCCGCAGTTCCGGTTATTGGCGATGTCGCACTCCGGGGGGTTTACTGTCGCAATGTGTGTGCCATTGCCTCGGCCCGTGACCCGGATACGCTGCAGCCTGTGCCGGAGCTGCACGCCACTGTTGTTGATTGTAGGGCGTTGCTTCAAGGATGGCTCTTGCTTGTCTCTGTCGATGGGAATATCGCCCGTGACGACCTCGCCAATGTGTTGTCGACGTTTGCACCCCCGGGATGGTGTCTCCATCTTGAAGGCCTGACGGAACAAGACGACGGCTGCTCCTTCACAGCTGGACGCCCTGTCTATGCCTCGTTCGTGCCTTTGCCCGTTAATGGCGCTGGCAATGGAGAAGGCGAAGATGGCGACAGCGAGGACCCATCTGTGAGTGACATGAGTGTGGAACCCACCGACCATGCAGCCACTGCCCTTCCTACCCCAGTTGGTGGTGCCCTCACTGGGCCTGATGAAGAAGGCGCAGATCGCAGTCGTTCTCCCCGAGGACGGGCTGCCCGTGAGGAAGACCCCCTCTCCGCCGGGTTCCTCATTATCACACAGGAGTATCTGCCGGAAGTTGTGCGTCTCGAGCTCGAGACTGGCGTGTCAGTTGCTGATGTCCTCAGCCGCGTTCAGGCTGGCCGCGAGCCAGCTGCGCATGCCCGTTTCCCGGTGCTCGTCGCGGCTGAGCCTCAAACGCTTGGACATTTTGGCGTGCTCCTGGCTTGCCCGGCTTGGACTACAGACCCCAGCATAGTGTTTGATTGCACCCTTGTTGATGGCGGCATCTTTTGCTGGGTTGCGTCCACTGTCCTGGACCGGGAATCCATTCTAGCGATTGCTGGTGTACCAGCTCTTGAGCCCTATGACGTTTTCGTGCCCAACTCTGACACCCCACTGCTCCCTCGACAGGAGTGTCTTCTCAGGCATGGCAGCTGTGTCACGATTGCACCCTCGCCTTGCCGTGCGTACACCCCGTCATCCCTTGTCGACATGCTGACGACTAAGGATGGATGGGGTGTTTCCGATGTGCCCCCCCTTGGCGCCGGTGCGTGGGCTTACATTATCGGTGATGACGGCCCTACTAGCCTTTCTCATGAGGTTGATAGGAGGCGCTTCCTTGGCCAGGCTGTTGCATCTACCTTACACCTCCCGCCGGGAGCCTTTGCTATCCAACTCGCTTGCCCTGACATCAGCGACTACTCCGATGCTGGCCGCGCTGTGCATACTGTTCTTGCCGCTACGCAGGTGCATGCCGGGGACTCTGTGGCACAGGAGGTTGGATGCATTTACTTCCTTGACCTTCGGCCGATTTACTGTGGTTTGACCTGGGCGTTCGCGCCCACCCGACAGGTGTCTGGTGCCCTGATCTGCGACCAGTGCACTCGTGCTCTGCCTACCGGCTACCGCCCTATAGTACGAGGAGGCCGCCCTCTGCCAGGTGATGAGGGCCTTCTTCTTGTCCATCCCGGAGAAGTCCTGGTTGTTGCGGTCTTGCCGATTGATAGTCCGGTTCAGGCCGTACCATCACTTACGGTCTGCCTCGGAGCTGACGATAGTGATCGAGGTGATGTGTTAGCAGATGGACTGCCTCCTACGAGAAGCTGCCCCGCGACTGGTGCCACTCAAGCACCGCCTGCAGGCGATGATGCTAGCTCTTCTAGCAAATCGCACCCACGTGGGGCTGGTTGGAATTGGAAGGTTCTCGACACCCATTCTTTCCAGCCCTTTTTTGACTCCGCCTTTTCTGCCTGTGCTGATCGAGTCATCATGTGCCCTACGGCCTCCCTGCAACATGCTCTACTCGAGAGCAAGCCGTTTTGCACCCCTGTACTCTTGGCACAGGCTCCACCTGCGTTCATGAGCCGTGGAGCCTCCGCGACATCCTTCCTTGGTGTGTTGGGTGACTGCTGGAAGCTCCTCCAGGAACCCGTTTCCTCCTCTCCTGCTGCAGAGCGCCACCTGAGTGCTGCACGCACGGCAACCCGGTTTCTTGGCCAACGATGGCCTTTCGATCCGGCATGGATGCCTGTGCTGCCTGTACCGGATGAGGAAGATCTCGATGACCCTAGCACTGATACTGCAGGTGATGTCATCGTCACAGCCGTTTTCTGCATTTTTGCGCCCGGCTACGTGCCTGAGATCCTGCCGCTACAGCTGATGATTCCGCAAGCCGTTCCTGAGCTTCTCGATCTTGTTCGGACCTGCCGTAATAGCCCACAGGCAGCCACCTTCCCAGAGCTAGTTGAGGTTCAGCCGCAGCCGCGGCCATCATGGGGTGCCTTCGTTGCTGTGCCGGAGTGGTTACATCATCGCCCCGTCATCTGCCTGGATCTGACACAGTGGGACGGGCGCATCTTTGCGGTCGATACACCAGGACTTGTCGACAAGTTCTCCCTGCTCCAGCTCGCCGGGCTGCATTTGGCTGCCGAGGTTGATGTTTTTCTGCCTGATGCACTCGATCCGATCCCTGCTGGCGGTGATTTTCAGGTTAGGACCGGCATGTGCATCACTTTTATGCCCCCGGGACGTATGCCACCGCCTACCTTTGAGTTGCGGGAAATGCTGCTCACGCCTCAGCAGTGGCAGCCTCAGCCGCTGCTGCCGCTCGCTGGTGCGCCAGAGCATTATCTCATCGCGACCGACAGAGGCAACTACCCCTTCCGCCTCCTTCCTG